TGATTAAAACAACTTCTTCATATTATCACATGGGCTTTATATCACTTGTTTGTTTTTATTTTACTATATTGCATCAACCTTTTTGGTAGCATCCTTCTTCATTATCAAAATAAACATATTCATCTACAAACAAAGTAATACTCATATAATCTTTATATCAGAACGCAATATTCATATAATCTTAAATCAGAAAACTAACTTGCAAGGAAAAGATGTATATGCATATCATAACAAGGCATTGAGTAAACAAAAATCTAGGTTACTTGCTAAGCTATCCCACAAAAACGCTCAACATATCTCAAAACATCGTTAACCGTTAGATTTCTCCGATCGTTTGTGTTAACTATTGAAAATCCAATCTTCTCAAGAACTTGGCCGTTAAAACTCGTCTTCATCTCGCCTACTAGCCTACTATCATCCTTGGCGTCAAGATAATCGGTGAACCACCCATACTTTCTGTGCAACGGTCTTGTAGTATCAACCATTATGAAAAACTTTTCCCAAAATCCATACACGACTTGCCACGTCATCTTGACGTCTTTCTCACCAGAATTAATCCCGGTGTTGCTTACGTCGAGTTCTATTTCGAACTTGTCTTCATTGGAACCAAACACTAGGTCTTTGCCTTTTTCGTAAACCATTGCGCTCTTTGTTTTTGTGGACACGTTGACGATGAAGATGAGATCGGAGAGCGAGATCTTGGGTTTCGGTAGATTTTTGCGGCGGCGTTTTGCATTCGATTCGACAGTGATAATAATGCCTTTGTAGGACGCACCTTCCCCAAATTTCAAGGCGATTTCAGAAGCACAAGAGCCTTGTGAGGACCGTACGATTAAGAAAGACCTCCATATATCCTCCGACGAAAAACAGTTTGACCATGTGGTCGAGACGCAAGAAGCAACCGCGAGTGTTTCAGGGTCCATGTAAGGACCAACAAGGCATAGAATCTGCCAAGATGGAGGAGGAGGAAGCGGCTCGGTATCGTCTTCCTTGTGCATATCTACAAGTACGATTGATGGCAAAGAWAWGTGGAGAGAAA